GCGCTTGATGGCGACCGTCTGCTCGTGCTGGAAGCGACGCAGAGCGTTCGAGATATCCGTCTGAAGCCCGTCGAAGCTGGTGCCGGGGACATAGGTGCCGCTCGATGTGCCGAAATCGTGCCATGTGCCCGTGCCTCCGTGGATGGCACTGTAGCTGGAGGCTTCCTGCTGCAGCGTCTTGGCGTCAGCGCTCGGCGGCTCCCTAGCGACAAAGGTCGATCGCAGACCTTTGAGAGTGCGACCGCATGAGAACACCAGGCTGCGCATGTGCGGACCCACGCTCTGAATAAAGTCCTCGAACGCAGTGGCACTGTCTGCAGTGCGGTGCATCGCAGCAGCCTCCTCGCCTCCCTCGCCGGAGGGTTGCTCAGCGTCAGAATCGGCGTCGACCTCAAAGAGGTCGGCCAACCTGGACGACGCAGGACGAGATTTGGGCTGCGAAGGCGCTTCACCGGGCTGAGTGGCTGCGGCCGAGGCCAAATCCTCCTGATCGCGGGCCAATCGCTGGGCCTCCTTGCGCACAGCCATGATCTGGTGCTGGAGGCCGCAGCTGCTCCTGAGGCCCGTAAGGTGCTGGGCGAGGCGATTGAGCGAGTCGGTGGCCTCGACGTACTTGTGCGTCATGCCGCGCATGCGCAGGTCAAACAGCGACTCGAGCTTGGCTTCCGAGAGGTTCTTTTTGAGCGAGGTGAAGCTGTCGTGGTGGTCGTCGATGGCGCGCTTGATGCGGTCGCTCTTGAAGTGAAAGTTGCTGGGATCCTCGAGCAGGAACGTCTTTGTGAGCACACGGAGCAGCGTCGAGAAGCCGCGCAGATTGCGCACGATATCGCTCTGCAAGTTGGTGGTGGCGCTCTGCGGCCACACATAGAAGCAGACGACGTTGCTGATGAGCGAGCCGACGAGCACGACGAGCGTCACCTGCCAGGTCTTTTCGGTCGAAAAGTGTCCGAGATGCAGCGAGCCCTCCTTGACGACGACGGTGAAGACGATGATCGAGATGAGCGAGCAGGCGGTGTTGAACTGCGGCTTGGCCACCTTGATCTTGGCGTATCCGACGAGCGCCATGCCGAGTCCGAGGAAGAAGAGCACGCTGACGATATCCGAGATGAGCAGCCGGTTAGTCTCGTGCAGGAAGACGGCGACGGCCATGGAGCAGAAGCCCAGAGTGACAGCATACACAAACGCGCCCACTGCAAAGATGTCGGCCTCGACCATGGCGCCAAGCGTCTTTGCGGGGTGGAAGTAGACGGCGACGGTGGCTATCATATGCAGGTTGGAGAAAGGCACGTCGTCTTCGGGATCGTTGTTGGGGAGGAAGGATGCGAGCCAACGGCTCAAAGCGGGAGAGTAGGTGAAGAGCGAGGCGATCAGGTAGGCGAGAGCACACTTGACGATGCTTTTGTGGAGCAGAGTGACGTTGTTTCCCTTGATCCAGCCGTGAAGCGAGCTGCAGGCAGTCTTCAGCGGCGTAGCGATGTTGCCCGAGGCGCGAGAGGTTGGATCTTGTTCTGAAGCGGTTCCTCGACTGCCATTGCCAGGGGCCAGGGTGGATGCAGGTTGCCTTGCTCGTGCATCAACGCGATTGGCGTCGGAATCACTGTCCGAGTCGGAGCCAGACTCGGATTCGGAGTCTGAGTCGGTTTCGAGAAGGAGGTGCTCGGAGGAATAGAGCAGCGGATCCTCGCCGAGTGGGGTCTGGTCGGGGTCGTTGGCGAGCATGCTGGCGGGCTCTTCGCTGATGGACACCCGGTGCGGAAAAAGGTCTTCGACTGCGGGTGAAGCGGCAACCGATGCAGTCTGTGAGGTGCGAGAGCGGAGTTTGATGCTCGAGTTGCCCTTGAGGGAGGGCGTGCGTACGAGACTCGCCATCGAGTCGTCAGGATTCTCGTCTTCTCTCTCTTGCACGGTACTGGCTGATCGGCGCAAGCGAATGGCTTGGCTGTCATACGAGGCATCGGCAGCCGGCGCGTAGACCAGGGACGATCCCGAAGCGCCCGACGGAGCGACGGAAAAGCGCTTGCTCCTACGTTTGAGGCGAGATCTGGAGCGGGAGCGTGGGGCCTCATCGGTGTCGTCGGCCGCGTCAAAGAGGTGGGCGAGCGACTGCCACTGTTCAGCGTACTGTCCCGGAGCGAGGAGGTGACCGACGTCGCCGCGGATGGTGTCGGAGGAGATGCCCTCGTCATCGAACCTGCGCGCGTCCTCAAAGGCACGCGAGCGACGCTGAGCCATCTTGGTCTCGCTCTTGAGTGCGGATGCGACGCGAACCCGCTGACGTACGGCATTCCAGAGATTGGGGGTGATGGTGCCGGTAGAGGGCAGCGACTGGGTGCTCTGGGGATGGTCGCGGTCCGAGACGACGCGACGGGTGATCGGACGAGCCGAGGGACGGAGGAGCACCGATCCACCTGCGGTCGACGGCCGTTCGGAAGGTTGCGGATGCGCCATGGTGCCGGTCGCGGGACGGCCGGAACCAATCGATGCGAGCCTCGGCGAGTCAAGGCGGCGGCGGCTCACACGATGTGATGTGGCGATGTGACGCGCCTTCTTTCATCTGCAGCAGTCGGGTGTGCGCCGATGGAAGCTGAGACGAAGCGCTGTTGTTGGAGGAAGGGAAGGTTGGTTCGTGTATATTTTTCGCCTCGCCTCGGCCTGTCCTTTTCTTGCTGCTGCTGCCCCTCTCGGCGAAATGAAGCCAAGAGGAGGATCCTCGATGCAGGGTCCACCCAGCGCGCGCCGACGTGTTGGTCTGAGCTGCAGCAGAGCAGAAGACTCGCAGAGATCCGCCGCACCGAATTTCCTCCACACTCGATTTGCTGGTGCAGCAGCTGCTGCTGCGCTGGGATCGCCCCTGTTTCCGGCCTCATTCATATCGCTCGCTTCCGACTGCGCGAGACTCGAGATGAACCGCACCGCCGCTCACGGACGGAGCGAGAGGTGATCATGGGCCTCTTCACAGGCGCAGATCTGACCGCACATCGACCCGCTAGGCAGCTCAAGCGTCGCTCGCTCGGCGGCAAGCGAGCCCGTTCGTCGATCTCGAGCGCGTCGAGCGCGGCTGTCCCCTCCGAGCCGTCGCCGAACGGCCGCACACCCACGGTTCCAACCATACACCCGCAGCAAACATCCTCGAAGCGGACGCAAAAGGCTTCGAGCGACGGCGAGACCGCTCCGGTTCGGTCAGACTCAATCGGAGACGAGGAAGGTTCGGATCTGGATCTGGCCGAGTTGCGCAGCGACGACGCGTTCCTCTACGAGCGGAGTGCGCCCGTCGATGTCGCGCTTGGACTCGACTCATCGCCTCCTCAACCGTCCCTGCTTGAGCGTATCGAAGTCCATGTCGCAGAGCACTACCTCGACTGTTTTGGCATCACACACCGAGACGAGCTGGTGCGACACCACAACCGCCTCATCCCGTTCTTCGCCAAGGCGCCGCGCTTTGTGTCGATCCACTCGCTCAAACAGAAGGAGCTCGAGCGCGACTACACAGAGGTGCACGATACTGCCGATACATGCGCTCGCAGGCAGCTCTGCCAAGGACGCTGTCTGCTCGGCTTTGCCTGTCCCCCCGATCAATAGCGAAAGGGCATCTCCGTCGAGATGAGTTCTCCCGCCGCCTCGGACTGCAGCCTGGAGAGCGGCGAGTGGGATGGGCAGGAACAGTGCTTCTACTTTGACCGCCACCCGACTGCATACGAATCGTTCGACCCAGAGCAGTCGTTCGAAGGATACATGCATGTCTTTAGCAGGCCGCCCACGGACGATGCTGCGGGTAGCATCCTCGGCACACATGCGCCCGGCAATTGCGACGACACTCCTGCCGAAGAACACAGAAGGCATGTGCGAGCCGAGAGGCTCTGCTTCAACTGCGGAGAACCCGGGCACGCCGTACCGCAGTGTCCGCTCCCACGCGACCGCGAGCGCATCCGGCAGAGCCGACTCGAGTTCGAGCAGAACAAGACGCTTCGAAGCGGCGACTCGGAAATCAACGCGTATGCCAGACTGCACGAGCAGGTGGCATCGGCACAGCAGCGTTTGCAATGGCTCGACGAGTTCGTCCCGGGGCAGCCGAGCACAGAGCTCATCCGAGCACTCACATGGGATGCTGCCAGCGCAACCGACGACAGAGACGACCGCGAGGCAGAGCTACACGCTCCGACACTGGACCTGCCTCACCTGCGAAACATGCTCGTTTGGGGCTATCCTCCCGGCTGGATCGCACCGTACGATCCCATCAAACTAGTAAGGCACCGCATCCAGCACGACACCGATTGGAACGACGTCGAGATGCTCCGTGGCTTCGATGTGACGAGCCTCAAGGCAGACACGACCGTCGCCGCGACTGCAGATCGTAGTCCTGAAGGCGCAAGTGCCGAGGGCACAGAACATCGCTGGGTCGACTTCCACACGCAATTGTTCGACAGCAATCGGCTGCAGAAGTTCGACACTATCCACCGGCGGCCGCTACCACGACTGGAGCGCGATGGCGAGCCAGATCCGTCGCTTAATCGTGATCGAGCCGAAGACAAAGACGACTGGGAAAGAGCAAGCAAGAGGATCAGACTCGGCAGGGCGGAGCGAACGATGCAAGACAGAAAGGCGCTGTGGCAGAGTCTGCTGTCCGGACGATTTCCCTCTCCACCGAGCTTGCCGCCCGAAGAGCCGCCGCCTCCTCCACCACCAACGTCTCCACCGCCACCGCCACCACCGCCGCCACCACCGCACATTGATTGATCAACACTGTAACAATGAACGCATTCAAGCGCACTTCAATGGCCAGGACAGACACTTGAACCGTCTCGAAAGAGTAACTCGAAGTGGGCGCGTGTGTTCGGAGAATTTCGCGGCGCTACCGGGTAAATTTGGCGTGTGGATCGCATGTGGAGGATCCGAACGCACAGCCCGTCTTGTCTGCTCGGACCACCTCCCTCACCCCGCTGGTCGCTGGGAGTGCTCTCTGACCACCATCTGCGACACACATTACACCATGACTGGCCGATTTGCACCCGCTCGCGGCGACGTGCTGTCGCTTTCGTCCTCGATCACCATGGTCGACGGCCGCACCATGCCTCGATTCGGTATTGGAGCCTGGGACATGCGGGGCGCCGAGTGTCGCACTGCGCTCCAGCATGCCTTTCGTGCAGGCTATCGACACGTCGTAAGTCTTACTTTCCCGCTCACCCCTTCAGGATTAGGCTAGCTTGCTGATGGCTGTGTCTGGTAGGATTCGGCGCGATACTATCGGAACGAGGCTGAATGTGGGGCGTCGATTCGGGAGTGTGGCATTGCTCGATCCGAGATCTTTGCCACCACCAAGATCTACCTCAACGACATGGGTGGTGGTGCCAAGACCCGTTCTGCCGTCGAGGACAGTTTGGCCAAATGGGGGCTCGACTATATCGACCTCGTGCTGCTGCATGCTCCCGACGGAGGCAAGCGCTTCCGTCTCGATTCATGGGCCACGCTGACCGAGCTAGTCCAAGAGGGCCGCATCCGCAGCCTCGGCGTCAGCAACTTTGGAGCACACCACATCAAGGAGCTTCTCGACAGCAATCCGGCGGTGCGACCGGTGTGCAACCAGATCGAGTGCCATCCATTCTTTGCACAGAAGGACCTCAGAGCCGCGTGCGAAAAGGAAGGCATTATCGTGCAAGCGTACTGCCCGCTGGCAAGGGGCCGGTACTACGGCGACAAGACGCTCAAAAAAGTCGCCGACGAGACGGGCAAGACCGAGGCGCAGGTGATGCTCCGATGGCTCATCCAGCACGGCATCGTCGCTCTGCCCAAGAGCAGCAACCCGCAACGCCAAGTGGAAAACGCCAACAGCTTGAAGTTTGAGCTCTCGGACGAGCAGATGGAAGGTGAGCAGACGAAACGATGCTGCATTCAAAGCGACTGTAATGCTGACGATGGGCGGAGAGGATCAAACAGAACTGGACGCACTCGATCGTGGCGACAAGGGCTGGGTCGAGATCCAGTCCCAGAGCCAGCACTGCGACTGAAGGCACCAGAGCCATGTATGACTCTGGAATGCAGGTGTTGGTCTCGAATGGCAAAGTGGAGCAGAGCAGCAGAGGCGCCGCAGACGCGTGAAGCCGAGTTGGTGCGCGGATTTTTTCTGTAGATGTGAGATCGATAATGAGCATGAAGGGAAAGAGGGCCAAAAGGCTCAAAAGGCTCAGTTTTTTTTTTTGGCTGCGTCTCGCTTCCTTCCGCGCGCCGGCGCGCCTCCGACACGCGGCACACGCGCCGCGAGAGGTCGGAGAGCGAGGTGGCGGCGAAAACGCGAGCCGAGCATGCAAAAGTAACACTTCCGCACCGTATCCTCAGCCTCCACTCTCTCTTCCCGTCTCTCCTCATCATTCTGACCCTCTCGAGCCTACTCTACTGCAACCAACACGCGCTGCTGACTCTTCCTTCACGCCCATACGAAAGCAGAAGCTTAAAAGGATGCCCTTTCTCGGGCCCGAAGCATCCACCTCGATCTCCTGGAACGGCATCGTGGACGCCGCTACCCACACCACACCATCCACCGCCACGACCGACGCTTTGCCAGGCGCAGCAACGTGGCCTCCCTCGGCTGCATCTCTATCCACCGCACAATCGCACATGGACAGCTCGGCACCCGTGGGCATCGCCGAGATCAACCTCGTCTCCTCGCCGCCCACCAGCCATGCCACATCGCCACTCCGCCCTTCGGCACGCAACAATCTCCCCAGTCCGTCCGAACTGAGAGCGGGCTCCAAAGCTGCATTCTCGGCTGCCACGGCGGCGAGGCTTGAAAGCGCCTTTGTGGCAAATAGCGATCCCGAGGACGGGGGCGAAATCGAAGCCGACGGAGCAGATACGCCGAGAGACCGCTCCGGGTCGCCGGAACAAGAACAAGTGCCGGAAAGTACGGTGTACGTGCAGCTGCCTGCGTCGTCTCCCTCCATGGCGGTGCACAGCGGCAGCGCCTCGCGCAGAAAGAGCAAGGGCGCAAGCGGATCGGATAGCCCAAAGCGCCGACGACGCGGCTCGAAATCGTCCGAGGCCTCGCAGCCTGGCGCTTCCAGTGTAGTGGACGATGCTGCGCTTGCGGCGCAGCTCGCAGCGCAGGAAGCAGCGCTCGCGCGCCGTCGTCCCACGCGCGGCAGCCGCAAGGACGTGAGCTACAGCCCCGTGTGCGACCTCGACGGCAAGCCGCTGCGGAGCAAGCAGGGCGCTGCTGCAGCGCCAGCCAGCTCGTCGGCTTCGACTTCGAAGGACAAGCTCAAATCAAAGAAGACGCCCACGCCGCGCAAGGTCAGTGGAAAGCGTCGGTCGCGCGTCTTTTCGGATGACGAGGATGAAGATGAGCATGCGGATGCTGGTTCGAGTGGGGCAGCTCCCGCGAAAGCGTCGGCGGCAGAGGAGGAGCAGCACGATGCGGATCTGACAGACGAGGACGTCGGCTTCCAGGCGCGCGACAGGAAGAAGCCGAGGAAGAGCAAGCGCGGCGGAGCGGAGGAAGCGCAAGAGCCCGACGCGGCTCGAGCAGAAGCGTCGACGCGCGGATCCAAAGGCAAACCCCGTCGACGTCGGGACGAGGACGAAGAGGAGGTGCACACCGATGCATCCGGCGGCGGTGGGGATGACGGCATCCTCACGCCTCCCGCACCCGCCTCGCCGCGTCAGTCTGGCAAACGCAACGCGTCTCCGAAAGTGCAAGCCGCAGAGCCAGCCGCCAAGTCTCCAGCCAGTGACAGCCAAGTGTCCAAGAGGCAGAGTGGGGCCGAAGACGAGCAAGAGAATGGGGACTTGGCTGCTTCGCCACGTGCATCGGCAGCTTCGGCGGAAGCGAGTGCGTCTAGGCGCACAACGCCCGCCACGGTGGCGATCAAACGCGTAGGCACCACCTCCTCACCCGGCGGCTCACCCAGCGCGCGCTCGTTCTTCGGCAAGCCGCTCACATCGCTTCTGACGGGCACGGTGCGTCGGCCGGGCCTCACGCGCAAGACCAACATCCCGTCTCTCCTCGCGCACCGCACGGCACCCAAGCCGCCCGCACCCAAGCTGGCGGTGTCGAAGCGGCGGATGCAGGACGACGACTACGAGTACGACGCGGCGTACGAGGCGCTCATCGCCAAGCCCGAACCGGGATCCGACGACGAGGACGAAGCGGCTGAAGACCAAGTGGAGCATGAAGGAGAGTACGATTGATCGCGTTAATGTACATGTCTAGCGTCCTTTGGGCGCGAGTAGTTTGACGCTTGTTACGAGCAGTGGGATGAGGAGCGGGGCGAAGAGCGGCGTGTAGACGGCGTACTTGTGTTCGTCGGGAAAGTAGAGCAGGCCCAGCATGGCTGGATTGAAGAACGCGCGGTTGGCCAGGGCCGCTGCTCTTTGCACCTGCTTTAGGGCCGCATGCACGTTGGTGACTGGCTTTGGTAGGGTCTGGAGGATGGCTAGGGCGGTTTGGGTGTCTTGCTGGACCTGGCTGCCTACGCCTAGGTTGTGGATCTTGTCCACCAAGTCGACGATGGCACGCAGTGTCGAGGTGGCTTCTCGCGCAAGTTCCAGCGTCCGTCTCTGCACCAGCGTATCCTTGCCATCATGACCCAAGAGAATCGACAGCTGGCGCGAAAATACCCCGATGGCATCGTGCACAAGCTCGGCGGGCAACTGGCGGATCTTTCCCGCCCCCGCCGTGTCTAAGCTCGAATTGGAGTGAGGCGGGTTGAGGATGACGACGCCGCCCCATTGTGGGACCAGCCAGGCGTGGTCGGGACTGAGCTCGCCCGAAGCGGTGCGGATGTGCAGTGGAGACGACGAGCGTGCAGGCACGTAGAGCAGGAAATGCAGATCGTGCGTCTGCGCAAGCACGTCAAACGGCCTCCCATTCGCAACGTCCTCCTCCCCCGGCGCCGTGGGAGGTACAGTGGAAGTAAGCGCCCAATCCTCCGAGTTGACAAACACCTTGAGATCGTCCCACTCGACAACGTGACGTGGTGGCAGCGCCGTTCGAACCTGCTTGACCACCCTCTGCACCGTTGGCACCTCGATGACTCGCTTTTCCCGAACCGTCCTTCTCTTTCCCAGCTCCTCTTCCACCTCGGCCTCTTCCGAGTCGGCATCTGCATCGACCTCGACATCGTGCTCGACCACGACATCGTGCTCGACCTCGTGCTGGACCATGACAAGTTCGTCCACCTCGGTCTCTACGATCTCCTCGAGCACCTCGTGCGTAGGCCGGAAGGCGAGCGGAGCAAACCACTGCACCTGCGTTTCGACGTGGAAAGTATGCAGACCGTCTAGCTCGCGCTGTAGCCTTGTGATGGGATTCGCGGCGTGCGGCCGCGCGAGCGCGTGGATCAGCGCGCTGTCGTACGCCGTGCTGTCCGAAGCGTCCTGGTTCAGGATGCTGAATACCAGCCGCACGTGCTTGCTGTACTGGATCACGCGCGCATCCTGTACCGCCTCGTCCATCCCAACCTTGTCTCCGCGCAGCGCGAGCAGTTCAGCGACTACCGCTGCACTGACCACGTCCGGAACGAGCGGTACTGCTGCGTCCTGCTGCAGCACGACGCTCGGCACGTCGGCGTCGCCGGTGTTGCCGGCATCGCGCGAGCCGGCATCTAGCACCCGAACCACGTACTGCGTCTCGTCGCGCGTCGCGTTGCTCGCCAGCGACCGCGCGTGTACGATCCATGTGGTGCACTCGAGACTAGCTGCCGCGGGCGTCTGGGACTTGAGCGCCAGACTCTGACTTACGAGCGACTCGATCTCGCCGAGGAAGCTGTCGTGCTGGTCGGCTGCAGCGGGCAGGATCGACGGATGGACAAGGATACCCAGCGACGTCGCAAATGTGATCGGACACCTGTCGGCGGTTGGCAGCGCTTGCACCTGACGTGTGGGCAGCGCCAGACGCTCGATCGTCGTCAGCCGGATCCAGGACGGAACGCTGAGTGCCAGCGCGAGCCAGAAGCAGAGCAGGATGGCGAGGCGGGTGCGCCGGCTCTGAAACGCCGGTGGGGAAGCGACAGCCATGGTTGTCCGACGTCGTGTGTGGCCGTCGCTCTCGCTCTGCGATGCTACAAACGTCGTCGAGGAAGCAAGGCAAGATCGAGATCAAGCGAGATCAAGCGAGATCAACACTTTGGTGGTCCTTGCTCCCAATTCCAAATTGTGAATGGAGAGACGATGTAACATCCAAAACGCCTCGAAAATCCTCCACATCCGCCCGCCGTCGCTTTTGCTATGTGCGAAAGTCGGGGAAAGAAATCCGCGCTTTCACGCAGCGACGATTTCAGGCCAAAAGCGAGCCGTGCGTCGCCTCCAAGGGACAGCAGCAGACGGCCAGAGGAAAGAGGAGAGGGAGATCCACCGACGCACCGACGCATCGTCCATCCATCACCACCACCACCATCATCCACACCCACGCGAGCGACCAGCTTTGCGTTTGCTTCATCATGTCGTCGTCGCCAACGACACCCATCAAAAAGGAAAAGGAGGCGTCGCCGCCATCGCTCGTCACCAACACGGCGCGCATCCCCTCGACGTCCTTCACCGCCGCCTCGTCGCTCAGCGCGAGCTTTGAGCCGCTCAGCTCGACCGAGATCCTGGAGCGCGTGCCCAGCCCTGTGCTGCGTCTGGCTGCGGCGCTCGGTCCGGCGATCCACGCGGTGCACCGCCTCGTGCGCCTCGCCACCTGGACGGGCGGCAAGCGGTCCACGTCCGGCTCGGTGCTGCTGCTCGTCGGATTCTGGCTCGCGTGCGCGTTTGGATACGAGCTGCTGCGGTATGCGCCCCAGCTCGTCGTGCTCGCCTGGATCGCCGTGGCCGGTCTGCGCAGGCAGCTGGCGTTTGCGAGGCCGCGCACCCACTCGCCCGCCAAGTCGCTCGATGCCCACACCCTCGTGTCCGCCGCAACCATCAATGCCACCCTGCTCGAGCTGAGTGAGCTCGCCGATGTGTGGTCCAGCTTCAGCTCGCACGTGCTCGTGCCTGCGGTGCAGCTCGTGTCGTGGGATCCCAGCCCCATGAACACACGCGCCGTCGCCGCGTTCCTCATCCTCACCTGGCCGCTCTGGCTGCTCGCCGTGCTGCCGCTGCGCGAGAGCGGATTCCCAAGCCTCGTCCTCCCCGTGTCGGGCGCCGGCATCATCGCATCCATCGCAGCATGGAACCGCTTCGTCTTCGATCGCATCCTCAACCTCATCGGACCGGACCACCTCACCGCGCTCCATGCCAAGGCCGCACCTGTCTATGCGCACGTCGACCGCGCATCCGCACTGCTCGCCCGAACGCCGTTGCCTGTAGTGTACGCGCATCTGTCCGCCATTGCTGCAAAGGTGAGGTGGGAGCAGTGGACCGAGTTCAACCTGACGCTGCTGCCGCCGTATCCGATCGGCGCGCTGAGCGTGCGCAGCCTCGTGTGCATCGTGGGCACCGTCGCGCTCACGTGGTGCTCGCCGTGGTGCGCGCTCGTGCGCCAGGCCATCTGGAAGAGCGCCACGATCCGACGCATCGTGCGCGGTACCGGCCGCGTGCTCAGCGGCCAGACGTCCCCACGCCAGGCGTACGGCAAAGGCAACCTCGACGACGAGTACGCCCAGGGCCTGTACCACTCGGACTTCGCTGGCCCCCGCAACGCCGCGACCACGGTGGCTAGGGACGGCAAGGCTGCGGCAGCGGGGGCTGGGG